ACCCTGCAGCTGAAGATCCCTGACCTGTTTCGTGACCTGGACATCGTCCCAGCCCTGCTCCATGGAGACCTCTGGGGAGGAAACGTAGCAGAGGACTCCTCTGGGCCCATCATTTTTGATCCGGCATCTTTCTACGGCCACTCGGAATACGAGCTGGCAATAGCCGGCATGTTTGGGGGCTTCAGCCGCTCCTTCTACTCCGCCTACCACAGTGCGATCCCCAAGGCCCCTGGGTTTGAGTCACGCCTGCAGCTCTATCAGCTCTTCCACTATTTGAACCACTGGAATCATTTTGGATCAGGGTATAGAGGGTCCTCCCTGAATATCATGAGGAATCTCATCAAATGAGCTTCCGTGCTCCGGAGGGGGCCTCAGGCTCAGGTGCACCAGGTCCTAGCCAGACACCTGTGGCCAGCGCCTCCCGTCCCCCACATTCCTGTCCATCAGGGCTTCTTCCCCGACTTGTCACACTAACTTTGTCCTCCTGAGGTTGTACATTTCCTTAGACTTCATAGCTGGATAAAACCAGCTCTTTGTGGGTGGGCCCCGTCAAAACACTGCTGCCCAGAGGCTGAGCAGGGAAGTGGCCGGTGTGCCAGGCGCTGCCGAGGACACATTCCCCTGGTGGCTCCTCCCGTGTCATCTCCAGGAGCGACTCTGATGTTCGGGAAGATGCTTCTCGATGGGTTAGACGTGGGCGTAGACATGAAGCCAGTACTGAGGACAGCTTCTAATGCCCAGTTTCAACTGAGCACATTCCCTTTCTTTCTGTGCCCCCTCCGCCCTGCTGCAGGCCGACCAGTCTGGAAGCTGATTCTGGGAGTGACCAAACTGCTAGTCTTGGGTAAATTTAGGAGCCACTGAATCCCTCCTTCTGGCACCCCATCTTGTTTGCCGTTTTCAAGCTTGTGAGTTACTCCTTTTTATAAAAAAGTGCTAAACCAGTGGCTTTCCCTTCCTCGTCTTAACAGTGATGGGGAATATTAGTGAATGGAGTTGATGCTGAGAAAGTCTTTTGCATAAACATTTGAATAAACTTTCATTGATTTCAATGATGTACAAGACTGTGTATTTCCTTCATTTGCGTCGTAATTCAATGTTTATCTTAGGTATTTGCCAAGAAACCTTTGTAATGTATTGTGACAATAAACAGGTACAGCTGTGGTTTCTTAAAAGCAGTTTTCTTTCGGGCGCCTGGGTGGCTCAGTTGGTTAAGCGACTGCCTTCGGCTCAGGTCATGATCCTGGAGTCCCGGGATCGAGTCCCGCATCGGGCTCCCTGCTCGGCAGGGAGTCTGCTTCTCCCTCTGATCCTCCTCCCTCTCATGCTCTCTGTCTCTCATTCTCTCTGTCTCAAATAAATAAATAAAATCTTAAAAAAAAAAAAGTTTTCTTGACTGTACAATAAGAGAATAGCACAGAGTTTCCAAAGAGGGACAGGTGTAGCCTGAGGACTGCTTCTGTCTGACTGGGTGAGGCTTGACTGCTACTGTGGGCCGCTCCAGGAGGCCTGGTGGACAGTGGACAGTAGAGAGAGGTCCTGGGAGGCTCCTCCTGGGCGCTGTGCCATCAGTGAGTGTGTGGCCAGGGCCCCACGCAGGACACAGTATCAGCGGTGTGGCAGGTGCTTGGCAGACGGGCGGTATATCAGTGTCTCCTGGCTTTGGTGGAGGTGCAGGACTCGTCAGCTTTCTAAACTTGGCAGTTTGTACAATTGCTCATGCTAAAATACCAACTTTTGTACCTAATTTTGTATCCATAATTTTTTATATGTGTATATATTTTTATATAAAGAGTTGTCAAGGGATGCCTGGGTGGCTCCGTCAGTGAATGTCTGCCTTCGGCTCAGGTCATGATCCCGGGGTCCTGGGATCGAGCCCCGCATCGGGCTCCCTGCTCCGCGGGAAGCCAGCTTCTCCCTCTCCCGCTCCCTCTGCTTGTGTTCCCTCTCTCGCTGTGTCTGTCAAATAAATAAAAGGACAAAAAGTTGTCAAAGTTGTATAACCTGCAGACCCAGAGGCCCGGGAACCTGCCCAGAGCTGTTGGGGGGTTGCCCTGTTCCGTGAAAGCCCGTCTGCACACGTCATCCCGGTACAGAGATCACAGTGTTTCCTGGGTGTCTGGGCTGACTGGGAAGCAGAGCGGACGGAGTTCTGATTTGGAACCGTACTTCGAAAGGACAGCTGTGGCACGGTGTCCTGGCGGCAGCCTGCCTCCTGTCCTCGCAGGGCGGCCTGCTGGCCTCTGGAGTAGCGGGAAGATTTGGCTGGACACACAGGCTGAGCTCCGGACTCAGCTCCTCGACCCCTTGGCTGTGAGACGTTGGAGCCCTTCAGGGGCTCCCGTGAGCACCCCAAGAGCTGCCGGAGGCAGGGGCCCGGGGGCGGGCCATCCCTGGGGCGGTCGTACTTCTTACCGAAATGGGAATATTGTATCCCAACTCCTCATGGTCTGCCCCTGCCAGAGTACCACCCTTTCCACAGAAGGAAGTCCTCAGATACCCGAACTTGACCTTCCCACCCCAAAGCTTATGCTCACCCTTTTGATGAGAGTGGCCCCGAAACCTTGGTGTCTCTACCTGAAACAGGACGCCAGTGCCCTCGGGGTCAGAGACCTCACTGCACCCTCCGAGCGCTTGATGTGGTTTCAGGCCTGTGTTCCGTGTCTAGGGGTCTCAGCCGGCTGTGCCCTCCCGGTTTTTGCCCTGTATGGGATCTTGAGTGCAGGGGTGCGTGATCCCCCTCAGTTTATCATTACCACAGTTCCTGTGTCTCAGGTTTTCATCTCCCTTTGTCCCCACATCCTGCTCACTTTCCCTCCTCCAAATCTAACTGAAGCGCTGGGAAATCCTACAACCAATGGGGTCTAGCGTGTATGTCCAGGACTTGGGTTTTGAGATCTCTTTTAGGCTCATTCTAGGCTCCAACTGCAGGGCAGAGATTGGGGAGGGAACTCCTGTAGAAGAGGGTGTGATCCTGGGCTGCCCCGAACAGGAGAGTGGGGTTCCTTGCGGGTTCTGAGCGGGCTGCGTCTCGCTGGGCAGAGCCCCTGTGCCAGGGGGTCCAGGCGGCTGGGGGGCCTCCTGTTCACTCTGCAGGACGGTGCTGGTGGGATGCCTATACTCTATGGAGGCAGGTAGGACTCTGTTATGGGATGGTATTCGGCAGGCTTTGGGATTCAGAGGGAATCAGAGTTACAGCCAAAATAAGGGAGGAAAATGCAAGTTTGGAAATAAGTTCAAGTTGCTACAGAGAGCAGCGGGTAACACTTTGCTCCAAACATGTGAAATTAGCAAGTGGTACACCGGATCGCAGGAGACTCACGTACCCCTGGGACAGGTCCCAGTGTAGGGGTTAGGAATTAGAAAAACCCTCTCAGAAGCCTCTTAGCCCTCCACCTCCACCATGATGGGAACCACACTGCACTCGGAGGTGGAGGACCATCACAGGAGGCTCTTAGGTAAGTCACCTGAGCTTTGGATCCCTCCTTCTTATCAGGTGCTGATAATGACACCCACAGGCTGTCCAAGTGCCCGGCTCCCCACTTGGCGGGGGACACTTTCTCTGTCCTCCCAGCATGAGACTAGCCTGTTGAGTGGGTTTCCTCTTGGGCAGAAATATGTGGACACACTGGAATATGTGCAGAAACAGCACTCAGAATGGTTAAGGCATCTGAGTTCCGAAGAGTGGCAGAATCCCCCTCCCTTTCTGAGAACAGTCATCTGCCCGAGAGGTGTGGCCCCAGCACAATGCCCGGTGGAGGCCAGGGCGTCGGACTAGCGGGAACACCTGGACAGCGTCCCTGCTGGCTCAGGCTGCAGCCAGGGCCTTGGGACTCCAACCCCCCACCCTGCTGCCTTCCCGGGGCCCTTTTTCTGAGCAGCATTGCAAAAGCCCCACCTGGCTGTGGGCTGTTTTCCTTCTTGGTGCCACAGGACTCCGTGTCACAGGAAAGGGTCTGAATAAGCAGGGCAGTCCTTTGTATGCACATGACCCCATCATTATCTCAGTCTGTCCCACCCCGCAGATCCACGTCTGAGTCCCAAGAACTACCACAGCTCTCTGAGTTTGGATTACAGCTGGGGCTGAGAGATGCCTTCTGCACTTTTGCAGCCTTCATTCTGGTTCTCAATAAAATCTTTAAAAAAAAAATTTTTTTTTTAAATGACTGCCTTCTGCTCAGGTCATGATCCTGGAGTCGCAGGATCGAGTCCCGCATCGGGCTCCCTGCTCGGCAGGGAGTCTGCTTCTCCCTCTGGCCCTCCCCCCTCTCATGTGCTCTCTGTCTCTCTCATTCTCTCTCTCAAATAAATAAATAAAATCTTTAAAAAAAATTAAAAAAAAAGATTTTATTTATTTATTTGACAGAGACAGAGAGAGAGAGAGCCAAGCAGGGGGAGGGGCAGAGGGAGAGGGAGAAGCAGCTCCCCGCTGAGCAGGGAGCCCGACAGGGGGGCTCGATCCCAGGACCCGGAGATCATGACCTGAGCTGAAGGCACACGCTTCGCCGACTGAGCCACCCAGGCGCCCTGGGCTTGTGTGTTTTGAAGTTCCCTTTGAGGGCGGCAGGTCTCTTATCAGGGGTCCCGTTCTGGGCGGGGTCAGCCGCTTGGTATCAGAATCCCAGGAGAGCCTCTATCTCTGACGGCCACCAAGTGCCCTGAGCAACAAGCCCAACACCAGCCATGGGTTCCACTGGGCAGTGTCTGGGGCCAGGCGGGATGTGGTCAAGACCCCCAGCCTTGTCTGGACAGCGTGAGACCTAGCTAGGCCCGTGACCTGTGTCCCGGGGACAGCGGGTCTATCCTAAACCCTGTCCGGAGTCCCGCTGGGGCCTGCGCCAACGTCCAGCAAGGGTTCGTGGAACCTCTGGCAGGGCGCCCCATGGGTGGGCCCCACCGAGGACTGTGGGGGCACCCTGTGCGGACTCGGGCGGAGGGCACCGCCCCCACGCCCGTCCGCCTGTGGAAACCCTCCGCCCGCCCCGCCCTCCGGTGGGTCCGTCCCTCCACTGCGCGCACGGGTGGGGAGCGCGGGGACCCGACGCCAGGCGCGCCGGGAGGACGGCCCGGAGCCCGCGGGCCGCGCAGACCCGGCGCCTCCCCCCGGCCAGCGGCCTCGGCAGCGGCGGGCTCCGCCCCGGCCGGCGTCTGCGCCGTCCCGGTCGCTCCCCGGCCCTCGCGCCCCCCGCCCCCATGGAGCAGCTGCTGCGCGCCGAGCTGCGCACCGCGACCCTGCGGGCCTTCGGGAGCCCCGGGGCCGGCTGCATCAGCGAGGGCCGCGCCTACGACACGGACGCGGGCCCGGTGTTCGTCAAGGTCAACCGCCGGACGCAGGTGCGGCCCCCAACAACGCCCCGCGGCCTGAGCCGGAGGCTGGAGAGCGGAAGGGATGGGGGTGGAGGGGGCGCAGGCGGGGCCGCGCGTCCGGGCCGGGCGTCGGCCGGGGTCTCGCGGAGCTGGCTGCTGCGGGCCCGCAGGACTCAAGCATTTTCTGAGGGATCGGGGCTTTCGTCCGCTGCAGGATTAATACTCCTGTGTTTGGTTTAATTTCCCTACCCATCAAGCATGGGGGAGGCGAGGCTCGGAGTCCCGGGCTGGGTCTGCTTCTCCCCAGGGCCCCGCTCTGGGCTCCCTCTTCCCCAGCCCAGCGCGCGGTTCCGTCTCACGAGGTGGGAAGAGGCCGGACCGCAAGGGCCCGTCTCATGCCCCTCTACTCACAGGCCTGTGCTGGTGTTTGGAGCTGGTTAATGCCCGCTTAAAATTTGCTGTTAAATATGCCGTGTATGGGAAATATTAACACATCACAAATGGAGAAAGTTAGCGTTAGTAAGTGCACCCCAGATGCTGAGGATGACCCGGTGGAGGACTCGGCGGAGGCTCCCAGCGCCCTGTGGGCCAGGCCCTCTGTGCAGGAGTTGGGGGAGCTGCTGGCTATGGGCTGAAGGACTCCCAGAGAGGCTCCTCCCTGTCGCCCTGCAGCGCTACCAGCCTGGGGTGGATGAGGGCTTGGGGCTGGTGCCGGGAATTGTCCGGGAGCTTCATTTCAGAACCCAAAGCCCTCCAAATAAGCCCCACCTCCTGGGAAGCAGTTTTGGGTTCAGGGTTCATGCAGGCTCTGGAACCCTCCTGGCTGAATGCTCCCCCAGGCCGGGATCCCACCCTTTGCCCTTGAAGCCCTGGGTGCTGGCACACGGTACGTGGGCCGATGACAGGTGAGGCCCTCCAGACACAGGCGGTCCAAGGCTCAGGCGTCCTCTGCCCCTGAATGTTTGGGGGCTCGCTTGCCCTGGGAGCGCGGCTGGGGCTCGCGGGGGATTGCTGGATGTTCCCTGACTGACACTAGCCACCCCTTGCTTCCCAGTCCCAGGTGTGGGCTGGTAGTTTGGGGGACGCCTTGCCTCATTTTCCCCTTGAGTACTTTGAATTAAGGGATGGGATTCTTTGCCTGTGTGGAAGTAGACGCTTTAGCTTCATGAGGAATAATTCTATAGCCAGAGGTGTTGACAAGTCATATTAATTAGCACACTTTTAACCAAGTAATAGTGTACCCGGGGTGAGAGTTCACCTAGTTTAAAATTGGGGTATTTGTGGGAAATGCTTTAGAAATAGGACGGCACTTGGGTCCCAGTGGAGGCTGTTCCGTCTTCTTCGGGGTGGGGTGTGAGGATCCCTCCCGCCCCCCAGGCCCTGCTGGGTGCTTATCTCTGGGGACAGGCCCTGGGCCTGAGCCAGGCCCTGCTGACCTCCCTGCCCTGCCTTCCCTTGCCCCAAATGTGTGTCCCAGTCACTTTGGCATGCGACCCCATGCCGCCCTATGCTTCTCCTCAAGTCTGCTGTGGTTGCTTCAGGTAGTGAGGTGGGCAGCCAACCTGAAAGGGGACCCAGGTCCACCTCCAGACCCTCCACTAACCCACACTCTGAGGCACCCCATTGTACTTCCTGGCACGCCTGGCGCTCCCATAGCCCCCCCATGGCACCACCCAGAACCTCCTGAGGTCTCCTCACAACCTCCATGGCACCCCATGGTACCTGTGGCCCTCTGGCCCCCTGCAGCATCCTGCAGTACCCCACTGTACCCCCAGGCATGCTCAGCACTCCCATGGCCTCCCCCAGCACCCCACAGTACCCCCTGCCCCCATGCTTCCTCACCTCTCAGAGCAAGCACTCGGGGCAGGGGCATCAGCATCCTGCCCACCCCAAGTCCCAGGCACAGCCTCAGACTGGCAGCCCCCTCCTATCTGAAAGGCGCCACTTTGCACCCCACTCTCTGAGGAGCTGATGTCTTGCGCTCCAGCTAGTTTTCAGTAACTGAGGGTCCTGGGTGCTTGTGATCCCATGTGGTGGCTCCTGTCCAAGGCAGTAGAGGCCCCTGTTGGAGTTGGAGCTCATGGTCTTACTCTGGATGCAGGCCCGGCAGATGTTTGAGGGAGAGATGGCGAGCCTGGAAGCCCTCCAGACCACAGGCCTGGTGCGAGTACCTCGGCCCATCAAGGTGATTGACCTGCCTGGAGGTGGGGCCGCCTTTGTGATGGAGCATCTGAAGATGAGGAGCTTGAGCAGGTGCCTGGGTGTTGTTGCGGGGGAGGGGGTGGGAGGGAGGGAGGGAGAGAGAGAAAGGGAGCAGGCTCTTGCTGGTTGCCCCTGTGCCTCCATCCAGTTAAGAGAGGCAGGGCCAGGATCATACCCCCACCCCCGGATTATTATTATTATTTTTTTAAAGATTTATTTATTTATTTGAGAGAGAGAGCATGAGCAGAGGGAAGAGGCAGAGGGAGAGGGAGAAGCAGGTTCCCCACTGAGCAGGGAGCCCGAAGAGGGGCTCGATCCCAGGACCCTGAGGTTGTGACCTGAGCGGAAGGCAGATGCTTCACCGACAGAGCCCCCCAGGCGCCCCCACCCCCGGATTCTTAACAAAAAGAAGGAGTTCTTGCTCTCTGTGTGGTTTTGGGTCAGGTTGGCGCCAGTGACTCAGCATCAAAGAAGCGCGCTGGAACCGTCCCTGGCCTTACGCTTTAGGGTGCACTCGTGTTAGTGCGAATTGGGCAGACTGACGTTGATCTATACTTATCTGAAGTCCTTAAATTTTTATCTAATTGTTAAAGTTACGTATATTCAATGTTTAAAAAAGGTGGAAACCATGAATTCACGTAAAGAAGTCATAAAGCCACCTGTAGTTCCGTCAGCAAAGAATGGCCAGTGCTAACATTTCGGTGCCGTCTTTTTTTAATACGTGATTTATATTTGTTTTTACAAAACTTCGGAGCTGGTTTTTCCTTAACTGGTTAAGCCTCCGTTCCTTAATTCCCTGCACCTCCCAGGGCTTCTGTTGAAGGCCACCAGCCCACTCCCACTTGGTGATTTTATACTATTTTGTTTTTCAGAAAGGGTCATAGCCGGCAGTTCATTTCTCACGTTTTAAGGAATGGAGAGTAGTTTTTAAGGGATTTAGAACGTTTCTCCACACGGCGCATTCACGCCGGTTGTGGTGATTTCCTGTGTGAAGCCGCTCCTCTCCTCCTTCCTCAGTCAGGCATCAAAACTCGGAGACCAGATGGCGGACCTGCACCTTCACAACCGGAAGCTCAGGGATAAGTCGAAGGAGGAGGAGAACACAGTGGGTACGTTCACTGCTCTGTGCACCCTTCACCCGCTGTGTCTGTCTGGGTTGGTGCTCCCGGTGGTGTTTTCACAGCAGGCTGAATTGCGTACGGTCTTCCTTTACGCTGCGGCGTCCTGCAGACGACACTGTTAAGTGAGAATTCTGTGGCGCCCACAGGTGGGTAGGAGTGGCCAGACGCCGATGATGCCCAGGCCTGCGGGCCGGTGTGCCTGAGGCAGGAGGGTCCTGGCCGGCCCGTGTGTGGACTTGCGGCTACCACGAGTAATACACCCTCCGAGGGCCGCGTCCCTGCAGAGCCCAGGCCTGTGCTAGCGCTCTGCTGTGCTCTGGCGTTTAAGAGAAAGACAGCAGCTCTTTTTGTCGACAGGCCGGAGGGCTGAGGGGGCCGAGCCCCGGTGTGTGACCAAGTTTGGCTTCCACACGGTGACGTGCTGTGGCTTCATCCCTCAGGTGAGTGCCCGCATGAGGACGTCCCTGCTTAGCTGATGACTGCTCCCAGTGCCCCAGTGCTGGTCGCCCCATCCCTTGTAGGTGCCAGAGGGCCAGTCGTCTGGGCACCGGGAAGACAGCCTGATTTCTGAACTCAGAGTGTGAGCCGAGATACCTGGGATAGGAGGGCAGAGGCAGAAGTTCACTGAGTTGAGCTGGGAGGAGGTGGGCAGCTGTGGGGCAGGTGGGAGAGCATCCAAGCAGAGGAACGGCAGGTGCAAAGGCCTTACGGCAGGGGGTTGTGTGATGAATGTAGGGGACTGAAGTGGGTGGGGGTGAGGCAGCATTCCACGTCAGGGATCAGGTCCTGGTCACCCGCCCCAGGATGTTGTAATTCTCGTGACATAAACTCCGTTATTTCAAAGCGTACAGGGACACCTGGGTGACTCCGTCAGTTAAGCATCTGACTCCTGATCTCTGCTCAGGTCTTGATCTCAGGGTGGTGAGTTCAAGCCCCGAGTTGGGCTCCATGCTGGGCACAGTGCCTACTTAGAAAAACCCCAGAGCCCACCATATGAGAACATGGCGAGAAGGCTCTCACCAGAACGCAACCATGCTGACACCTTGAACTTGGACTTACAGCCTCCAGAACTCTAAGAAATAAATGTCTGTTGAAGCCAAAAGAAAAAAAAAAAAAAAAAAAAAAAGAAAAACTCCAGAAAAACACGTACAATTCCGTGGTTTTTGGTATATTTCCTGTGTTGTGCAGCCATCGCCACTGTCTAATTACAGAACATTTTCATCACCCCCAGAAATCACATACCACTTAGCAGTCATTCCCCATTCCCCTTCCTCCAGCCCCTGGTAACAACTCACCTCTTCTGTCTCTACGGATTTGCCGTTCTAGGCATTTCATGTAAATGGAAGCATATGCTAGATAGCCTTTTGTCTCTCCCTGTCTCCGGTGTGGGCAGAGGGCGAGTCTCCCAGGTGGATGGCACTTGGGGCAAGATCCTTATGAAGCCTGAGCCAGACTTAGGGATCCCAGCCCCTGGGCAGCCCTCACATCTGGGGTCCCTCAAGCTCTACACACACAGTGGTTTCCCAGGCTTGTTAGGGCTCCATGAATCTCTGCTGAAGCCAGCTCCCCCAGGGTTGCACATCTGCTGGGAGCCGGTGGCCAGTGTGGCTGAATGGGGCTTGGTGTCCTGCTTCAGATGTTGAGTTACGAGCTGTGGACTCTCCAAAGACACAGCTGACCTTGCACAGTGACTTTTCAAGAACCAGGAGATGAAATCACACACAAAACCCCAATCTGTGAAGTCGATGAGAATGGGGTTGGTCCATTAGGGACACGGGCAACCCCTGTGTGCCCCTTGAGAACCCCGGATCAATGCACCTATTTAGCTCAGCTGCAACTGGCCGGGAAGGGGTGAGGGCCCTGGGTGGACACTTGGTCCACCTTGAGCTGGGACCGATGGTCCTGCATGGAGCGCCTGGACCAGCCCAGAAGTTCCAGGAGCGTCCTGCTCCTTGGGAGGGATGCGTGGGCCTTCAGGGGGTTGCAGCCATTGGGGGTGACCCTGAGTGGCAGCAGCGGGCTTCTCAGACACCTGGTGTGCTAAGCCCCCTTGGGACCGCTGGCATTTCGTGCAGGGCCACTCCCTGGGCTCATCTCTAAGTGCTCCATCCAACACCAGTCATCCAGTTGCTGTAGCAACCTTAGGAGGTGGGTGTTGTCATTTGACTCATTTTATAGATGAGGAAACGTGCAAAGAAGCCAAGCGGTGCCCTGAGGCCATGCGGCTAGTGAGTGGAGGGCCAGGGTTGACCCACAGGCTGCTTCAGAGTGTGGGCCAGAACCCCCTCACTGCCTTGCCCCTCTTCAGGGTGAAGGCTGGGTCCCACTAGCGGTGTGCTCAGGTGGCCCTGCCTTTGGCAAGTCGGGAAAGTCCTGCCCTTTCTGGGCGAGGGGATCACAGTCCCTCTGTCCAGGAGGAGGGACTGGGCTAGCCAGTGCTGGTGTCCAGCTCCTGATACTCAATCTGTGTCTTTTATAACCTGGTCATCCAGAAGGAAGATGGAGCCTTGGACCCTGGGAGCCTGTGCAGACAGATGGGGAAGGAGGATCTGCCACCCCATGTGCCTCAGGCTGTCTGAGGAGAGGGCCTCCCCTCCTGCTTTTGAGGCACACCCAGCACTAAGTGGGTGAGCCCTGGGCTGAGCGCCCACAGCACCCGGCACAGGGAGTCCACGGATGTGTGTCTGCAGGTCACTGCGAGGCATGCTCTCTGGAGAGTCCCTCCCCGGAGGGGTTTCCCAAAGTGACTCTTTGTATGAAATAAGCTTTGCATCTTTATTTTTTTTTATTTTTTTATTTTATTTTATTTTATTTTTTAAAGATTTTATTTATTTATTTGAGACAGAGAGAATGAGAGAGAGAGCACATGAGAGGGGGGAGGGTCAGAGGCAGAAGCAGGCTCCCCGCCGAGCAGGGAGCCCGATGCGGGACTCGATCCCGGGACTCCAGGATCATGACCTGAGCCGAAGGCAGTCGCCTAACCAACTGAGCCACCCAGGCGCCCTTTATTTATTTATTTGAGAGAGAGAGAGAATGAGAGACAGAGAGCACGAGAGGGAGGAGGGTCAGAGGGAGAAGCAGACCCCCCGCCGAGCAGGGAGCCCGATGCGGGACTCAATCCAGGGACTCCAGGATCATGACCTGAGCCGAAGGCAGTCGCTTAACCGACTGAGCCACCCAGGCGCCCAGCTTTGCATCTTTAAATAAGAAAAAAATTCTATTAAGGTATAATTGACATAAAATAAGCTGCACATTTAAAGTGTACAATTTTGCAAGTTTTGACATATGTAGATACCCGTGAACCAATCACCACAGTTGGGACGAATATATCCATCACCCCCAAAGGTCCTCTTGCCCTTCCCTGCCCCTGGCAACCACTGTCATTAGAGATAAGTTTGTATTTCATAGAATTTAACATAAATGGAATCATACGGTTTGTGCCTTTTTCCGGCTTCTTTCACTTAGCTTCATCATTTCATGATATTCATCTATGTTGTTGCATGTGTTCAAAGTCCGTTCCTTTGTAGGATGAACCATAGTCTGTTTATCCATTCACCTGCTGATGGGCATCTGAGTAGTTTCCAGGTTTTGCTTTCACAAATAAAGCTGCTATGAACCTTTGTGTACAAGAGTTTGTGGAGACAAATGCTCCCACTTATCTTGAGTAAATACCTAGGAGGGAAATGGCTGGGTCATATGGTAGGTTCATATTTAACTTAAAAAAAAAAAGATTTATTTACTTATTTTAGAGTGAGCGAGAGTGAGCGGGAGGAGGGGCAGAGGGAGAGGGAAAGAATCTCGAGCAGAATTCCCGCTGAGCGTGGAGCCCGACGCGGGCTTAATCTCACGACCCTGGGATCATGACTTGGGCTGAAATCAGGAGTCAGACACTTAACTGATGGAGCCACCCAGGCGCCCCTAGCTTTTTAAGAAACTGCAAACGTATTTCCCCAAGTGGTTGTACCATTTTACATTCCCACCAGCAGTGGATGAGGGTTCCAGTTCCTCCACATCCTGGCCGCTCTTGGTAGTTTCCACTGTTTAGAATTATTTAGCCATCCCGGCGAGTGTGCTGTGGTATCTCCCTGAGGTTCTGCTTCCCCTGATGGCCAGGGTGCGGAGCGCCTGTTCCTGTGCCTCTTTGCCATATATCCGTGGCACAGACATTTAGGATTATTATGTCCTAGTCATCAGTTGACCCGCTTTCCGTTGTGAAATGACTTTCTTTATTCTTACGATAGTCTCATCTCTGAAATCTACTGTCTGATATTACTATAGCCATTCCAGCTTTCTTTTGACTAGTGTTAGCATGGTGTATCTTTTCTATCCCTTTACCCTATTTCTGTTTTTATATGTGAAGTGCATTTCTCGTACACAGCTTGGAATCAAGTCTTTTAACTGGGGTACTTAGACCCTTTGCATGTAGTGTGCTTATTGGTAATGGTTAGGGCTGAATCTGTCATCTTGCTGTTTGTTTTTTATTTGTCCTGTCTCTTCTTTTTTTCCCTTTTTCCTGTTTATCTGCCCTCTTTTGGACTGAGTATTGTTTTTTTTAAAGATTTTTTATTTATTTATTTGATAGAGACACAGCAAGAGAGGGAACACAGCAGGGGGAGTGGGAGAGGCAGAAGCAGGCTTCCTGCTGAGCAGGGAGCCCGATGTGGGGCTCGACCCCAGGACCCTGGATCATGACCTGAGCCGAAGGCAGATGCTCAATGACTGAGCCACCCAGGCGCCCCTGGACTGAGTATTGTTAATGACTCCCCCATCTCCTCTGGTGGCTAGCTGTAATATTTGGTCTGTTAGTGGTTGGGCTTGGGTTTGTGCAGTCCCCATGTATGGCTCTGCCCTGTGAGCACCAACTGCAGCCTCAGCCTCATCTTGCCGTCTAGGTGAATGAGTGGCAGGAAGACTGGCCCACCTTCTTTGCCCGGTACCGTCTCCAAGCGCAGCTGGACCTCATCGAGAAGGACTACGCCGACCGAGAGGCACGAGAGCTCTGGTCACAGCTACAGGTGGGTCAGGGGCTGTCCTTTTATTAGCGCATCGCATTTGTGTGGGGTCCTCTGGTAGAATGGAGCCCTGGAGCAGCGCTCGTCAAGTGTGGACACATAAGTGCCGGACTCTTGGCCTGATGGGGAACCTGGGAAGGGGATGGTACCTGAGGACATACTTGGCCCCTGAGTGCAACTCTCCCTGGCTAGGTCACCAAGTACTCAACCTCAAGCTTTGCCCACGTGAAACGCAGGTGCTTGGCTCATAAATGCTGGCATTTACTATTGCTTTCTTACCCACTCTTACCCTGTTCTTTCTTTTCCAAAGCATGAATGTCTCACCTCTTAGAGATGTAGGCGGCAGATGCCCCAGAGTGACTAGTTTGAAAATGTAACTCTCCAAATGTTAAAAACAGAATCTGCGTGTCAAGCCAGGGTGACCATGCAGCGAAGAAATTTCATTTAACTCAGTAATGAAGTAACCAGTAGTATGCAGAAGAGGTGCAGGCATATATGTGCTGGGAAATAAAAGGACAGTAGAGAAAGTTTGCCAAGTTGCCTAAAAACCCCGCACTCAGGTTATTTGGCCCACGTCCAAACGTGCAGGGCCACGTCCACTGAGGTCTCTGCTGTAGGAATGTCATCAGTGCTGTGGACTGTCCAGACCTAAATTAGCAATAGTAAGATAACGTTGCATTCTCCTGGACTCAGAGGGTCTCTGGGTTTCATAGACCAGGCTGTGGTTGGACCCAGAACAAACATGAGGTCATCTCTGCCTTATTTCCAAGTATTGGATCAGGTGGCCGTGGCTTATAGTCCCATGGTAACTCTGTGTGCAATAATTATTTTTCTTAGGTGAAGATCCCAGATCTGTTTTGTGGTCTAGAGATCGTCCCTGCCCTTCTTCATGGGGATCTCTGGTCAGGAAATGTGGCTGAGGACGACTCGGGGCCCATTGTTTATGACCCAGCTTCCTTCTATGGACATTCTGAGTTTGAACTGGCAATTGCTTTGATGTTTGGGGGGTTTCCCAGATCCTTCTTCACTGCCTACCACCGGAAGATCCCCAAGGCTCCAGGGTTCGACAAGCGACTGCTGCTGTACCAGCTCTTTAACTACCTAAACCACTGGAACCACTTTGGGCAGGGGTACAGGAGCCCATCCCTGGGCACGATGAGGAAGCTTCTCAAGTAGAATCCAGCCTGCATCCCTGCCTCCCTGCTTCACAAAGAAGTGGGGTGGCAGCACCAGAGATGGCTTCAGGGAATAATAAAGTAGGGGGTTCAGGGATGGAACGGCTGTGCTGTCTGTGCTTCCACCCTCGCAGTTGGGCTGATGTACAGAGGCCCCCGGCACCTGGCGGGGTTCCAATAGGCTCATTATGTATCGTGGTCTGGGGGAGTTTGGATATTTTCATCGTGATTGTTACAGAGTCACACAGATCTGCGATTTGCGTAGGTGGAAGTTGGGGTCACATCTCCCTGTGGACTCCGGCTCAGGCAGAGCTGGAGACCAGGAGATGGGTCTCACCTCTTGAGCGGCATCTCTGGGGCTGAGTGGAGCTGTGAGTCCTCCCCTGCCGAGGTAGGACAGATGGAAGGAAAGGCCCTCGGTATTGTGGGGGACAGGCGTTGGGGCTGCAGCCACTGCCCAGCCGGCTCCGCGCTCCATTTTTCAGCTGGCGTGTTTGCGGCTGGGTAACAAGAGGCTGAGGGTAGGGGGAGAGCCTCGGGCAGTGGGGTGTGCCCACGGTGGGGTGTCAGGGGTGTCCACTGTGGTCCGGTGGCCAGATTGGCCGGTTGGTTGGGCACGTCATCCTTGAAGGGGCTGACATCCTTGAAGGGGGGCTGGGGCAGGTGGCACTGGGGCGGGATCTGTGGGGCACTGGCCGTCCACGCCGCGTCGCTGAAGACGTGGCCACGCCTTCGTTACTCCTTGCAAAATTACCAATTTCACGGTGGTAGGGGCGCCCAGATTTCTCTTATCTGAGTGTGACCGTCCCGCGGGCCTGGCGGTCAGGAGGCTGGTCCCACCGCGACAGGTGAGCCTGTTAGGACTGTCTAGAAAGAACTCCATCCCAGACGCATCCTTCCAGACACGTGACATTTCAAACCAGAAACTGCTATCGTCGCAGGACCCATGTTTGTGGGATGTGACTGTGCGACCCGCGCAGCTCGAGTGTGTGGGGGGGAGGGAGTGGGGAGGGGTGGGGGGCGGGGCTCGGAGCCCGAGTCTCCTCCTACGGCTCTGGTCGCGACCCCACTCCCAGCGCGGGCCACGGCCGCTCCCAACAACCCGCCCTAGGCTCAGACCCGCCCCCGCCCCACCCGCAGGCTCAGACTCACCCACCAATGAGCTCAGACTCCGCCCCACCCCGCGCACAGGCTCCGTCCTCACCCCATCCCACCCACGAGCTCAGATCCCACCCCCGCCCCACCCCACCCCCAGGCTCAGACATCCCTCCCCGACCCCACCCCCAGGCTCCGTCCCCACCTCCCCTCCCCCACGGGCTCAGGTCCCCCTCCCCCGGCCCCATCCACGGGCTCAGCTCCGCAACGCTCCCGGGCTCCAGCCACGAGCTCAGCCCCCCGCCCCGCCTTCTCCCTGGCCCCGCCCCCAGCCCGCGCAGCAGGCTCCGCCCTCCCCCGTCCGGCTCCGCCCGGTCCAGGCTCCTTTCACCCGGGCCCCGCCCCACAGGGCCCGGCCGCGCCTCTGTGCTCGCTCTTTTGGCGGCCGGCGCGCTCCGTAGCGGGTCCGAGGCGCGAGGTCAGGGGTCGCGGGGCGGGGCCAGCGTCGGTGGCCGCCGCCTCTGCTCAGCCGTCGTCCCTCAGCCCGCGTCAGCCCGCGTTCCTCCTCCGGGTGCTAGGGCGTGGCCGGCTTCGAGTCCGCGGGCGCGGTCCGGGACGCCGAGGATGGCCCTGGGCGAGGAGCCGGCCGCGGGCGCGCCGGAGGACGGGGCGGAGGACGAGGCGCTGGCCCGCGGCGGCGCCCTCGAGGCGTTCGGCGAGGGCGCGGAGGTCCGCGCGCTGCTCGGCCGCCTGTGGAAGGTGCTCGGCGACCGCGCGGCCCGGGAGGGCGCCCTGGAGCGGTTCCGAGGTGCGCGCGGGGCCCGGCCGGGTGGCGGGTGTGCGTGCTGTCGGGCCGGAGCTGCTCGTCTTTCCGAGAGCTCGCACCTGGCGCGCCCCTGTGGGAGCCCTGCGCCCGCGCGCGGGCGGCCTCGCCTGGCGGCGGAGGGGCGGTGGGCGCTCCGTCTCCCGCCCGTCCGCGGAGGGGTGGGCGTGAGGACGTGACCGCCGGTTCGGCCCCGCCGGCTCGCGAGAGCCCGCCAGGCACGGCTGTGCGGACCGGGAGGCGGCGGGACGAGGAGCCGCCGCGAGCCGCGTGCCGCAGACAAAGGCGCGCAGGGGGCGGGGAGCGCATGGCGGTGCAGCCGGGGTCGGCCGCCGTCGCCCGGGGCCCTGCGGGGCCCGGCGGGGAGCGCGCAGCACAGGCTACTGGCTGCCGCCCGTGCTCCGAGTTCGGCCCCCCGGACCTGGGCGCTTGTCGCTAATGACTGGTTAGGGCGCGAGTGGGATGGGAAGCGTTTTGTGACTCAGTAAAACCGTCACTGTGGGCCCTTTCTGCCGAGGAAACTTCCGCCGCGCTTTGCCCTCCTGGTTTGCGGTGACGAGCCTCTGACTTCGGGGGGCGGTGTGGCGGCCGAGTGGACCCGGCGTGTGCTTCGCTGATACAGCGCAGCGCTGACACTCGCTGGCACTTGGGCTCCGTGCCTCCTCATCGTCCTTCCGCGTCTGTTTCTGCGGCTGCGGCCTGGGGTTAGAAGCCAGCCGCTGGTGCACAGGAGTGCTGTGGGGCGGGGGAGTATCCAGGGAGAGCCCGGCTTCCGGTTCCCAGGCAGCTGGCGGGCGTGGAGGGGTGTGGCATGGGCATGGGATCGCTGTCACGGGCGAGTGGTCTTCGGATCTGACGGGAGCAGCGCCGGCTGCTGGAAGGAGCGGAGACCAGGCCGCCTGGGGTGGAGGAGCGTGTGCTCGGAGGGCTTGGGCCCGGGGAGGGCGCAGTGCCCGTGTGTTGCGCGCAGGGAGGAGTAAAGGACTGGAAGGCGTCTGTGTGGGATTGATGGTGGGTTGGGAAAGGAAGGCGAGCTGAGCAAGTGGAGGGTGTGGTGGCGTGGGGGGCTGCCCCAGGTGGCCTTGCTCCTAAGAGCCGAGCCAGAGCAGTCAGCAGGGGGAGACCTGAGGATTCCTGGGCCTTGGTGCACGCGTACCTCAGTGATGTTAATTCCCATGTTTCTCTTTTTAGTAATAATGGACAAATACCAGGAGCAGCCTCATCTGTTGGACCCACACCTTGGTAAGAACAGAGGTTAATGATTTGGGGTTTTTTTTTTTTTTTTAAAGATTTTATTTATTTATTTGAGAGAGAGAATGAGAGACAGCACGAGAGGGAAGAGGGTCAGAGGGAGAAGCAGACTCCCCGCCAAGCTGGGAGCCCGATGCGGGACTCGATCCCGGGACTCCAGGATCATGACCTGAGCCGGAGGCAGTCGCTTAACCGACTGAGCCGCCCAGGCGCCGCAATGATTTGGGTTTTGATCGTTCACTTACAGATGCTCACAGAGGCCTTGGTGTGTGGTGCTGGGGTGTGTGTGTCTTTGTATTTGCCAGCAGAGGGTGTCAGGATGAAGTGCCCAGTTCTTATTTGTTAGCAGGGCCACTTAATGCTAGTGGACTGGGATAGTCCTAGGAGTTCTACATGTTGCTCTGAGCTGTGGGCAGATGTATTTGAGCTTCTTTCTTCCTTGCTGTTACTTAAGAACCTCTTTTTTGCTCATCGTGTGTATTTTAATCAGTTTGTTTTCCAGGCACATTTTGTTAGAACCAAGTGCTTTACGGGGGTCACCATTTAATCCTCATATAGATCATATATAATCTATGGTCAGCTCTGTTTTATAGATGGAGACAGTGAGGCTTGGGTTTCCTTAACTTAGTATAAGAGGAGTGGTTTATTGTTTCTTTTTGACCTGTTTCATACTGATAATTTTTTTTTCTTTTTTCTGTCTGCAAAAGTAACACTCCTGGCAGTGAAATTAGGAAGGAGGAAGGTAGCAATAGTAACTTAAATTGAAAAGCAGCGCAGGGTGGGGGTTAGGTGCATGAGACCCAGGCCAGACTGCCTGGATTTGCATACCCAGTGCCACCACTTAGCTGCTCTGGCCTGGATTTCCTTACCTGTAAAATGGGGATTATTAGCACTACCTGCCCCACAGGGCTGTTGAAACTTCAAACATGTTACCATGTGAGGCAATAGGGGTTAGCTTTAGCATACACATATGTGCCTTTTAAAAAGTGGGCTGGTGCTGTGTGTGCTGCTTTTTCTCCTTCAGGTAACCACCAGGTTTTGTAGAAAAGCTTTCTGAATTCTCACCTGTCTCAGGCAGAAGAAATGCATTTTCTTTTTCTTTCTTTCTTTTTTTTTTTTAGACCTACAGAATTACTCCAATTTGGTTTTATTATTTATTTATTTTAAAAGATTTATTTATTTGAGAGAGAGAAGGAGCGAGAGAGCATGAGAGGGGGGAGGGTCAGAGTGAGAAGCAGACTCCCCACTGAGCACGGAGCCCGATGCGGGACTGCATCCCAGGACTCCAGGATCATGACCTGAGCAGTCACTTAATCAACTGAGCCACCCAAGTACCCCCAGAATAAATGCATTTTCGTACTTGGTTGATAGCTTGGCTGGCTGAAGACAGAAGGCATGGTTCTCTCATCCACTGTTACCAAATCCAAGTTTCTTTTTCAGGAGACTTTTTTGTTGCTGAAAGTTTCCAGAAACTGATGTCTTATAAGAGTGTGAATTGCTCTGGGCCTTTTCTCTTATGCTGGGCATTAGCTGGACAGTTTTAACCTGAAGACTTACATCCTTTGGTGCAGTGGACTTTTGGTGTGTTATTGGTCATTTCTCTGCTTCTGCTTTCTCTTTCTTTTCTTTCTTTTTTTTTTTTTTTGTAAAAAAATATTTATTTATTTATTTATTTATTTATTTATTTATTTATGATCACACTCATTTGAGGAGCAGAGGGAGAGGGACAAGTAGACTCCATGCTGAGTGCAGAGCCTGATGCAGGGCTTAATCCCAGGAAGCTAAGGTCATGTCCTGAGATGAAACAACATTAGGACACTAACTGACTGAGCCACACAGGCACCCCTCTGCTTTCTCTTTTTGATGTCCCTGTGAACTGGATGTTAAGTTTCCAGGAGTGATCACTGGAGGGATCACTCCTCTGGGTCCCTTAGCTTTTCCCACATAGTTTTGCTTTTTGATCTTTGTTTTGCATGTGGAAGATGTTCTTGAATTTATTTTGTCCATTGTTTTTACTATCTAAGCGCTCTTGTCCTTGGTTTGGTATTTTTCGAAGTCGTCTTATGGGTCGGATGTTCCTGTCTGGGGAGCACATGGCTAGCTGCTGGGCGCTGGGGCCCTGTTGGGGAGGGTCCCTCCGTGGGCCTCCTAGCCTGGAATGCCTACTCCTTGTTGAATCAGGAGCTGACTGCGTGGCAGTTGTCAGATGTGTCCTGGCTTCCTCTTGGACCTACCCTCTCCAGAGCACTTCTGTCCAGTAGAGCTTTGTGTGATGACGGAATGTTCTAGATCTGTGCTGTCTGGTAAGGGCACCACTAGCCACGTGGGATTGCTGAGCACTTGAAATATGGTTAGTATGACTGAAGAACTGAATTTAAAATTTTATTTGACTTAAATAAAAAAAAACCCAAATGTGGCTAATGGCTATGGTATTCACCACTCTAGAGAAACCGCTGGTCTTCTGCCTAAAAGGGGCTGTGGCTGGGAGACCCTAGAGCACTCCTCCTGTTTTCAGCTCTTGCTGTGTCCTGCCCGGGGCCGTTCCTGGCTCCTCAGCTCTGACTCCTTGCTGGGCTGCTCCAGTTACCGTGGCTTTCCCTGCCGCTGTCCGGTTTCTAAGTCACAGCTGACATCTCTTGGCTGTTGTTTTTTCTTCTCTGTTCCTTTGTGTATTTGTACACTTTATTTTCATTTTATTGCATCTTGGGGGGTGGTGAGGGTTACTGAGATAAGCATGTGGAATGATCTGCTTTTCTGGTCTCTATTCTTGTGGAATGGCTGTGCTGTCTTTCTTAATCTCTTGGTCTAGTTCTGGCTGTTCTCTGCTCTTCCCCAAGTTCACCTCTTTCCTCTGGAGTCAGCTTTTCTTTGTAATTTGGTCTTTTCATGTTATTGGTTCTGTCCATATTTAAGACTGAATGGATGTAGATGGGGGTTCCTCTGCTTCTATTTTATGTTGGAGTGTTTCCAGCTAAACCTCTCCTGAGATGATTCTGTCAGGCAGTGTGGTGAGTGGATGGGCAGATTTTCTCTGGGAGCATGTGAGTTGGTTGAGGATGTTCCACATGGCAGAATGAAGCCCTTCCTTTATCTGGGGTGCTCATATCCCTTCCGGGGAACGCTTCACTTGCCCTAAGTGGTATGTTCAGAGTTTTGCTCTGGGATGAAAGCTGCTTGTGCTAATGTGGTGAGGTATAACTTGCACGCCACGGAGTTCACCCTTTTATGTGTATACTTCATTGGTTTTTGGTATATCACAGGGTTGTGCAGCCATCACCACTAATTCCTGAACATTTCTTCACCCCCAGAAGAAGCCCATGTCCATCAGCAGTCACCCCACTCTCCCTCCAGTTCTTGGCAACCACTAATCTGCTTTCTGTCTCTGGATTTGTGTATTTTGAGCATTTCACATAATGGAGTAGACAGTATGTGGACTTTTGTGACCGGCTTCTTTAACTGGGTGTAATGTTTAAAGTTGTGTAATTAAATACTTCACTAGCTTTTTAGTTTCTTTTGTGTTTTCAAAGCAGTAAATATATAGTTTGTAAATAATGCTAGCTTGATCTCTTTATCTGTGGTTATACATTTTCATTCTTTAAAACATATTCAGGGGTGCCTGGGTGGCTCATCAGTTAAGTGTCCAACTCTTAATCTCAGCTCAGGTGTTGATCTCAGGGTTGTGAGTTCAAGTCCTATGTTGGGCTCCACACTGGTCGGGGAGCCTACTTAAAAAAAAAAAGTTCAAAGTTACCTTTGTGGAGGGGTGCCTAAGTGTGCAGTTGGGTTAAGTGACCAGCTCTTGGTTTATGCTCAGGTCCTGATCTCAGGGCTGTGAGATCAAGCCCCGTGTTGGGCTCTGCGCTCAGTCCACTTGAGATTCTCTCTCCCTCTCCCCCTCCCGCTTGGGCTCTCTCTCACATGCTCTCTCTATAAAAATAAATAAGTACATCTTTTTTAAAAAATAGGGGGAGCGGGGCGCCTGGGTGGCTCAGTTGGTTAAGCGACTGCCTTCGGCTCAGGTCATGATCCTGAAGTCCCTGGATCGAGTCCCGCATCGGGCTCCCTGCTCGGCAGGGAGTCTGCTTTGCCCTCTGACCCTATCCCCTCTCATGTGTTCTCTCTCATTCTCTCTCTCTCAAATAAATAAATAAAATCTTTAAAAAAAATAAATAAAAAATAAAAAATAGGGGGAGGGACAGAGGGAGAGAAAAATCTCAAGCAGACTTCATGCTGAGCTTGGAGTGGGGCTCCATCTCACAACTCAGAGATCATGACCTGAGTGGAAATCAAGAGTCTGATGCTTAACCGACTGAGCCACCCAGGCACCCCAAGTCTAATATTCATGTATTTACCATTTCCACCTTTATTCTTTGCTTTATATAGATTGTAGTTTCTATCTGGTCTCGTTTATTTTTTGCTTGACTTCAAAACATCATTTTTTTCTGGTGCAGATTTACTGGTGATGAATTCTTTCAGCTTTTGATATTTTGTTTCACTTTCACTTTTGAGAGATTTTGCTGATTATAGAATTCTAGGGTGACAGTTTTTTCTTTCAGCATTTTAAAAGATATGGTCCTACTGCCTTTGGCTTGTATTGGTTTTGACAAGAGGTCTGTCTTTACTCTTGTCTTTGTTTCTCCATGTAAAGTGGGCTGTTTCTCTGGCAGTTGGTAGAATTTTTTTTTTTTTTTATTGCTGGTTTTCAACAATTTCATTGTGACATGTCATGGTGTAATTTTCTTTCCATTTATCCTGCTTGGAGTTTGTTGAACCTTTTGGATTAATAGGTTTACAGTTTTCATCAAATTTGGAATAATTTTGGTTATTATTTCTATACATATTTCTCTGCCTTTTCCTCTCTCCTCTCCCCCTGGGACTCAGGTTACCTGAATGTTGATCACTTGACATTGCTGCACATGGTCCTGAGGCTGCTTGTTGTTTTAGCACCCCTGCCCCTGTAGTGTAGAAGTTTAGTTACTGTATCTTTGAGTTCTCTGATCTTTTCTGCAGTATCAAATATTTGATTAGTTACTTTTTCATTTCAGATTTTATTTTTTCCAGCTCTTGAAGTTGTTTGTGTTTGTATCTTCATTTCTTGCTTCGTATTGTTCACGTTTTCTTATACATTCTTGAGCATGTTTTAGTATTTATGATACTTGCTCTAAAGTTGATATCTTCTTTGTCTAGGGAATTTCTGTTGACTGATTTTCCCCGTTAGGAGTCACCGTAACTGGGCGCCTGGGTGGCTCAGTCGGTTAAGCAACTGCCTTCAGCTCAGGTCATGATCCTGGAGTCCCGGGATCGAGTCCCGCATCGGGCTCCCTGCTCCGCGGGGAGTCTGCTTCTCCCTCTGACCCTCCTCCCTCTCATGCTCTCTGTCTCTCATTCTCTCTCTCTCAGATAAATAAATAAAATCTTTAAAAAAAAAAAAAAGGAGTCACCGTGACTTTAGACAGCCATGTGCCTCGTAATTTTTGAGTGGATGATGGGCATTGTGATTATTATGATGCTGGTGGTTTTAAATTTTTTGTCTTTAAAGAGCGCTCAGATTTGCTAGGCAGTTAAGTTAATTGTAAATCATTGTGTCCTTTCGATCCTATTAAAGCCTTGTTAGGGCAGGTCTCGCTTTTTCTCTAGTTTTTCTCTAATTTAGCCTTCCTACTTAAGGATAGACTTGTCTGGAGTGTCTGCTGGTTGCTCTGGGTGCTCAGCATGGACTGTACTCTGGCTCGATGGGATTTGAGTGTTGGCCCCATGGCAGCTGGAAACTCTTTGTCTCAGTGCTTTTGGTAGTTGTTCTTACCTGGCCCTGTGGACTCCTCCCATACTTGTGAACATTCAGCCAAAGACTCGAGGGGGCCTCTCTAGACTTCTGGAGCTCATTCTCTGCATACCTTCCTCTTCATTACTCTCCCCTGCAGATTTCAGCTGACTTAGCCTCCTTGAACCTTGGTCTCTGCTCTCTTTGAGTCCTCCCCTGCCTGTGCTGAGTTCTAAAAATTACCTCCCAGCAGACAGCCTGGGGCAGCTGTAGATCCCAGTTGGTCTGTTCCCTTGCACTGCCTGTTGTTCCAGTGTCTGAAAATATATTTGTCACATATTTGTCTCGTGGTCTAATTTTTGGTGCTAGAGCAATTCCATATAAGTTAATCCTTTATAACTGGAAGTGGAAATCCTTTTTTTTTTAAAGATTTTATTTATTTATTTGACAGATTGATAGCGAGAGCAGGAACACAAGCAGGGGGAGTGGGAGAGGGAGAAGCGGGCTTCCTGCCGAGCAGGGAGCCCGATGTGGGACTCGATCCCAGGACTCTGGGTTCATGACCTGAGCCAAAGGCAGACGCTTAACGACTGAGCCACCCAGGCGCCCTGGAAATCCTTTTTTTCTGCCTTATTACATTGGTTAGAATGTGCTCATCACTAAATCATAGTAGTTGTAGGAGGTATCTTCTGTAAAGCATGGTATTAGATATTAGTTTGAGATAGAATAATTTTTTAAAATAAGAATATTTCTCCTACATTTTATTTTATTTTATTTTTAAAGATTTTTATTTATTTATTTGACAGAGAGAGACACAGCGAGAGAGGGAACACAAGCAGGGGGAGTGGGAGAGGGAGAAGCAGGCTCCCCGCAGAGCAGGGAGCCCGATGTGGGACTCGATCCCAGGACCCTGGGATCATGACCTGAGCTGAAGGCAGTCGCTTAACCAACTGAGCCACCCAGGCGCCCCTCCTACGTTTTATTTTATTTTACTTTATTTTAGAGAGAGAACACGTGTGTGAGTAGTGGGGGGAGGGGTAGTGGGAGAGGGAGAGAGAGAGAATCTTAAGCAGACTCCTTGCCCAGTTCGGAGCCCAGTGTGGGGCTGGATCTCAAAACCATGACTTGAGCTGAAATCAAGAGTTGGACACTTAACTGACTGAGCCACCCAGGTGGGTGGCTGCATTTTAAAAGAGAGGATGAATGTTGTATTAATTTTTTTCTTTTAGAAACTGTTATGATGAAAATGTTTTTCTTCTTTTGCTCTATTGATACTTGGACCATATAGGTTTACTAATATTGAATTACTCTTTTTTTTTTTTTTTTAAAGATTTTATTTATTTATTTGATAGCAAGACAGCTAGAGAGGGAACACAAGCAGAGGGGAGTGGGAGAGGGAGAAGCAGGCTTCCCGCTGAGCAGGGAGCCCGATGCAGGGCTCGATCCCAGGACCCTGGGATCGTGACCTGAGTTGAAGGCAGATGCTTAATGACTGAGCCACCCAGGCGCCCCTGAATCACTCTTACATTTATAAATAAAGTTTTTTTTTGGCATTTTATTTTGATATCATATTAATGTTTAATTTTGTAGTAAATGTTTTGCATATGTTTTTCCCTAGAATGGATGATGAACTTGTTGTTGGATATAGTGCAAGATAAGACATCTCCAACTGACCTCATACATCTGGCTTTTAAATTTCTTTACATCATCACGAAGGTAACATTTACATAGCACTTTATAGTTGACAGAATCCTTTCTTATATACTCAGTCCAGAAATTACTTTCCAAATGCTATTTTTCAGGAAAGATGGTTTTCACAAATAATTTGTGGGTTTCATTCTTTCTCTTTTTACCATACGTTGGGGATCAGATGTTAGTGATAGTGATCTGTGGGTCCTTTGGCTGAAACCGTGTCTGAGATATTTAGCATCTTGCCTTTGACCAGATCAAGTAGCGCCTAGCTAGGAAGGAAGTGAGGGAGGGGAAGGAAGGAGGGCGAGGGAGAGAGAGTTGAGTAATTCAGAAGAGTTTCTTGCAAGGAAAAAGTGGACAAGCTTGGTGAAAATGTGCAGATGAATTTCCTGGGGATCTTGTTAACAAGGCATATTCTGAGTAAGCAGGTCTGGGGTGGGGCCTGATCTTCTGCATTCTTAGAGACTCTCAGGGGATATCCCTTTGCTGGCCGACAAATTTAACCAATTGCAGTTTTGACCACGGGAGTGACTCAGAGCCATCTCCGGGTGGGTTTTGTGGGGCTGCGCAGTCCAGTAGTGCCTGCTGTGTGGTGAAGAGAGGTCCTTGGCCAGTGAGAGGGCCCCTGGGTGGGCTGCCCATGTGCATACTTCTCTGTGGCTCAGTTGGTCAAGTGCAAGATCTCTCCTGAAGGTGCAGTACCATTGTGTTTATGGAAGCCGTAATGAATTTGGGGACCTTCGAGGTTTTTGAGGACTTATTCCCTCCTGAGTGTCAGAGGGCAGTTGTATAAACAAGGTAGAAGGAAAACTAATTTGTTTGTAACATATCTGTATTTGTGATGAAGCACATATTATATGTGTTAAGTTGGGACAGAACATATGAAATGATGTAAGAAGCAAAGATAGCTTTCCTGTTTATTCTTAACAAGTTGTATCACTCTAATATGGCATAATTCTCTTCTGATCGTTGGGTGGGATAGGTGGCGATCTTTGATGATAGAGGAAAAAGATATTTTGCTACTTTCTGTGTTTTCTAATTATATAATAATTCAGTGTCTTTTTAATTTGGTAGGTTCGAGGATATAAAACATTTCTTCGTTTATTTCCTCATGAAGTATCCGACGTCCAGCCTGTTTTAGATATGTTTACAAATCAGAATCCCAGAGACCATGAAGTGAGTGTCTTTTTTCTCCTCCTTTTCATTCCCAACCTCGTCCCTCCTTCTTTCTTCCCTTGTTTGCTCTACTCCTGACTGGTGGCTTCATCTTCCTGTTTCCTTCAGTTTTATCTTATGCTGTTTTGTGTCCCTCTCTCTCTTTTCTTTTATTCTTTTTTTTTAAACAAATCTTTTTTTTAAAGCTTTTATTTATTTGACAGAGAGAGAGATAGCGAGAGCAGGAACACAAGCAAGGGGAGTAGGAGAGGGAGAAGCAGGCTTCCCGCTGAGCAGGGAGCCCCATGTGGGGCTCGATTCCAGGACCCTGGGATCATGACCTGAGCCGAAGGCAGATGCTTAACGACTGAGCCACCTAGGCGCCCCTCTTTTTTTTTATTCTTTTGGCTTTTTCTGTTATTATGTTACCTTAAATTCTTTCCTTTTAAAATATGCTCTTTATAAAGAAAAAAATATGCCTACATATGGTGTGGTGATAACTATGTCAACCTTCCAGATTTTTAAAAATTGAAATATAACTATTTTGGGGCTCTCCAGGACCACCCCCAGGTTTGATGATTCTCTAGGATCACTGTAGGACTGCATGTAGTTGTTTTTATGGTTGTGACTCATTAGTAGCAAAATCAGCAAAGGGAAAAGGCATATGAGGTGCAGTTTGGAGGAAACCAGAAGCAAGCTTCTAGAGTCTTCTCCCAGTTAGGTCACGCAGGGCACTTGTAAGTCTCCCTAGCACTGAGTTGTGATGACACATATGAAGTGTTGTCCACCAGGAAGGTCATAGAGACCGGTGTGCAGGATTTTTCTTGGGGGCTGGTCATGTGGGTACTCTGCCAAATATGGACTGAAATTCCAGACTCCCAGAAGGAAAGCAGGTTTTGACATAAGTGATGTGGTTTGTACAAATAGTCCAGGCACAGAGGGTCCCCCTTCTCAGGGCGTGGTGGGAAGCCTTCTGAAATCCAAGTTCCCGGATGCCCCCTGGTGACTAGCCTTGTTAGCAGGCCTTTCCCAGGAGTCAGGCTGCTTCAGGAGCACTCTTTTGCACAGTGTGAGGAGCACACCATTCATAACTGCTCCACCAGTGAGTTGTCTCTGTGAATGTGCCCAATTTCAGTTGAAGATGTGGGTTATCATTTCCCTAGCTCTCCTCTGCTTCTCGTGCCCCCGATGGGTGATTCCAGGGCCAAAGTGGAGTCTTGTTTTGTTGACTACCTAAAATAAGGGCCCTCCTCTTTGACTAGACATTGAGAGTATTTTTCTTTGTTCTTAAGTCTTCTGTTTTCCATTTTTTTTTTTTTTAAAGATTTTATTTATTTGACAGAGAGGGACACAGCGAGAGAGGGAACACAAGCAGGGGGAGTGGGAGAGGGAGAAGCAGGCTTCCCGCTGAGCAGGAAGCCTGATGTGGGGCTCAATCCCGGGACCCTGGGATCATGACCTGAGCCGAAGGCAGATGCTTAACGACTGAGCCACCCAGCCACCCCTGTTTTCCATCTTTTTATCTGTTTTTCACTTTCTCGAAATGCTGATTGTGTGCTGAAGGGTGCCAGCGAAGAGAAACCATTATACTGATCTATTGTGACTTTTCTCTGTTAGTTCTGCTGTTTCTTTCATCTGACCAGGTTCCCAGCTGTCTGTATGACAGAGGGTGTGTGTGGTGGGGTACAGTAGAGATAGGGAGGGACTCTCGATGGTCTGCACTCCAGGCTCTGAGGTGGATAGCATCTGAATGGCCTGTGGTGGGCATTGAGTGGGCAGGGAGGGCAGGGAGGACTGTGAGTGGGGCATGCGGGTTACCTCTGTCCTTTATACTGGAGTCATTTTACTTTGATTTAACTTCTTAGACTTGGGAGACCCGCTACATGCTTTTACTGTGGCTCTCTGTGACTTGCCTGATCCCTTTTGATTTTTCACGCCTTGACGGGAACCTCCTCACTCAACCTGGGCAAATGCGAATGTCTGTAATGGACCGTATTCTCCAAATAGCAGAGGTAAATGTGATCATCCAAATCATTAGCTGCTAAGTAGTGTTCTTTTTCATTCTCATGCTGTCTTATATTGGAGTTTAATTAGGTACACTTTTGACATTTATGTTTCTTCAACTGCTGTTACTGTTTTTCAGTGAGGTAAAATTCCATTTCATGACCTGTTTTGAAAGTGTGATAATTCATGTAGGGGAAAGGATGAATTACTTAGCAAATTTCCTTTCTTTGTAGGTAGTGCAAATACTCTGTTAAGCATAATAATGACATATAAGAGATTTCAGGGGGCAGTTGTAAGAGAAAATAAAGGTCCATTTTAAATTTGATTTTTAATGTTATGTAAATAATACATGATCAGTGTAGAAAAATTAGAACGTGAAGCAAAGCAAGAAAGATACTAAATTGAAGTCCCTCAAATTCTAGTGCCAAGAAGTAATAACGCTTGTATATTTTTTCAAACTTTTTGTGATGCAATAATTTGTCTATATGCATAATATTTGTATTACCCCAAACTTGAGTGGTTTAGCACAACACACATTTATCATCCCACAGTTTCTGTGGGTCAGGAATCTGGGTGTGACTCTGCAGGGTAATCTGCATCACAGTCTCCCCGGCTGTAGTCAAGGCTCGCCTTGAGCAGGGTCTGCCTCCGTGTTGTCATGGCAGTTGGCAGAAGCCAGACTCTTGAGGGTGTTGGACTGAGGGCTTTAGTTCTTTGCTGGATGTTCCTTGCTGTGTGGCCCCCTCTACCTGGCAGCATATTCTCTCGAAGCCGGCAAGGGGCAGGGTCTGCTAGTGAGACAGAAGACACGATAATGTGTCACCAAATCACAGAAGTGGCCTCCCACCCCTTGCCAGATTCTCTTGGTTAGAAGCCTGTCACTGTGTCCAACCCAGACAGGAGGGTTACACAGGATGTAACACCAGCGGTCAGGCATTCACTGAGTACCTGCTCTGTGCCAGACACTGTTCTAATCATCTTTTGTATGGTGACTCACATAATCCTACTGAGGTTTATGTCTGAATAAGGCAGTTTACTTTTTTTTTTAAATATTATTTTTAAAGATTTTACTTATTTCAGACAGAGAGACTGAGAGAGAGCATACATGAACTGGGGGGGGGGGGCAGAGGGAGAGGCAGACTCTCCACTGAGCAGGGAACCCGATGTGGGCAGCCCAGGGTCCTGTGATCATGACCTGAGCTGAAGGCAGATGCTTAACCAACTAGCCACGCAGGCGCCCAGTTAAAAAAAAATTTTTTTTTTAAGATTTATTTATTAGAGTGCACATGTGCGCGGCAGTGGGTGGCAAAGGAGAGAGAATCTCAAGCAGGCTCCAGGCCCAGTGCCATGACCCTGAGATCGTGACCTGAGCCGAAATCAAGAGTTGGATGCTCAACTGATGGAGCAACCTAGGCGGCTCTTAAAGATTTTTGTAAAAATAATAATTTAATTTTTTTTTTTTAAATAATCTCAATAGCCAATGTGGGGCTCGAACCCACAACCCCACCACGTTCCACCAGCTGAGCCAGCTAGGTGCCCTGACAGTTAACTCTTTTTATCCTCATTTTACTGAGGGGGCGATGGTCAAAAAGAAGAAGGTTCACTTTATCATAGAGGGTAGATCCAGATTTGAAGCAGGCGGTTTGGCTTGTGGCTTGTCACCACAGTCCGTGCGGCCCGCTTGGTGCAAGCGCCTTTGGTGCCCTGCTGTCCCGCGAGCTGCTTTTTCCCTGGCAGTGTACGTTGAACGTCTTATGTCTGAGTACACGTCCTCTCATAATCTGGAAAGGGAAAGGTGCTCCACTGAACCCTAGTTTTAAAATATTCTCTTGGGGCGTCTGGGTGGCGCAGTCGGCGAGTGTCTGACTCTTGGTCTTTCAGCTCAGGTCATGATCTCAGGGTTGTGGGATCAAGCCCTATGTCAGACTCTGCTCAGTGTGGAGTCCGCTTGAGATTCTCTCTCTCCTTCTGCCCCCGCCCTCCCCACGCACGGGTATGCACACACTCTCTCTCTCTCAAATAAATAATCTTAAAAAAATTCTCTTATAGATGGATGTTTAGTTTGTTTCTGATTGTGTTCTGTGAGAAGTAGTACGGTGATGAACCACCTTTACGTACCCTTTGTGTATTTGTCTTGTAAATGGGACTGTCAGGTGAGTGGGTGTACATTTCTAAAGGTTTGGCACTGATTGTCCCCCAGAGAAAAGATCTTTTGTGTATGTATCATCTGGAAAAACCTTAGTTGAGATGAGAATTGGGAACTTCTTAAGGCAAGCCTCCAAAGAGAAGCTAGTCATTTGTTTTAACCCTGGGTCCTCTTCTGTTTGAGTGGGGCCTCCTAACTGTTCTCTATACTAACATGTTGACAGGTCCCAAGTGTGCTTTGTGGACACCATGATTTTTTTTTTTTTAAAGATTTATTTATTTATTTTAGAGAGAGAGTGAGAGAAAGAGAGAGGGGAGGATGAGCAGGAGTAGGGGCAGAGGGAGAGGGAGAACGTCAAGCAGACTCCCTGCTGAGTCAGACACTCAAGGGACTGAACCACCCATGTACCCCTGTGGTTCTTTGCTACAGCTGGGTGACACATACGCGTTTCATTTTTCTCTTTTTACACATGTATTTCAAGGGGTCTGGCCACATGCCATGTGCAACTAGGCATCTGCCGGGTGGTGAGCACAGCATTTGGCTCTTGCTGGCAAGGAGTCTAGGGGTGCTTTGTGCAGCTTTGAAATTGGGCCTCTGCCTAGAAGCTTCATGACCTGGCTTCTCTGGGAGCTGCTGCATGTGCGACTGGCTGGTGAGTGGGTCCCAGAGATTTATATGGTGTGTGTAATGGTGCCTGTCCTTGATCCTTTCTTCTAGGCCTACTTGGTTGTCAGTGACAAGGCCCGAGATGCCGCTGCTGTCCTTGTGTCCAAGTAAGTACCTTGTGTTGGTTGATATGTGACTGGTGGGTTCCGAGAGGGTTTGTCTTACGTACTCTTCTGCATTCCCTGTGTTTCTGTGTTACCTTGGAGCCTCCTCCACACCGGGCGGATGGGCCTGGGAAAATCTTTCCTACTGCCCAGTACGTGTCTCTTTCTTTGAGGGAGCATCGGCTCTGTTTGGCTGCAGACCTTTGAACCTGAGAGTGCTGGGCTAGGGGCTCATGGAGGTCACCTGATGGGCCTGTCAACAGAGTGCAGATTTAGAACAGGTGTAATAGTTATACCTGGGGCAGAAGCTTACCTTTGGGGTGGTGGCAGTTAGATGAGTCTTTAAAGGTCGCTTTGAAAGCAGTTAATGCTGTGGTTTATGGAGATCATGAGCTTGATTGGGTCATTGTGGCTTGGGATAAAAATCCCCAAACATTCTCTGTTGACTGAAAAACAGGCTGTGCCTCAAACATGTGAACATGGCTTTCTTAGTCTGATGAGCTCGGTGAGCTGACCCAAACAGTGGCCCTGGTGTCTCTGAAAAAATGCAAAAGACGTGTGTGAGAGCTATGGAAGCTTGTTTCATGAAATGCGAAAATGGAAGGAAACAGTTTTTCTACATTAATCTTTTGTAGGAATGTGACTTAAAATAAGTGTATTGAGTAGATAAATGGGAATATTTGGCTTTTCCCCACTCTACATTTGTGAAAGTTGAAAATGGGCCGTAAAAACTTTTGGATATTTTGATTGGGAAAATGGGCAACACTTCATTCAGGGTCCCCTTATACTTAGGTGTATAGCCATGACCTTCCACAAAGTGGTAAGAGAAACCCTTAATTTGTAGGGCAGTGGGGGCACTTGCTGCACCATAGGGCAGAGCTTGGATAGAAGAGCTGATTTCAGGTGTGAGGGGAACATGTGAGCCCACCTGCATTGCTTCACCTGGGGGACAGAGATACTCACTGGACAGAGGTTTCTTGTGATTAAAAAAATGAGTTTCTGGGATGCCTGGATGGCTTGGTTGGTTGAGCGTCTGCCTTCAGCTCAGGTCATGATCCTGGGGTCTTGGGATCGAGCCCTGCATTGGGCTCCCTGCTCAGCAGGGAGTCTGCTTCTCCCTCTGCCTGCCCCTCCCCCTGCTTCTGTGCAAGCTCTCTCTCTAATAAATAAAATCTTTAAAAAATAAAAGAAAAATAAAAAAATGAGTTTCTTTTTAATTCTAAGAGTAATCTTGTGTTTTGGAAAATAAAGAAACGTATAAAGTACAAAATCCACGTGTACCTTCATCCCCCAGAGGTGTACCTGCTCCTGCTTTTCGTCCCGATGCTGTCCGTTGGTGCCACCGCTCTGTCTGTGGGTATGTTGGTGCACACGCTGGTCGTACCGGCTACCAGCAGATGGGCCTGGAGCTTTAATCAGTCTTTTTCTAGAACACTGTTACGGTGTGAATATACTCCTGTTTCTCCAGTCCCCTGTTGGACGTGTAGACTGCTGCCTGCTACTTGTTAGTAAAATCAGTGCCATCATGAATGTCTTACATAAAACTTTGTGCCGTTCGGATTGATTCTTAGAGATGAATTCCTGGAAGTGGAATGGACATTTTAGGGGTTTTAAATGCAATTACTGGAAAGGTTACCTTTCCCCTATATTTACCAGTACTATGTGAGATCTTAACGTGTTTGCCAGATTTGTTAGGTGAAAAATTGTTTTTATTATTTTTTATTACCAGCAATACTGAGGGTTTGGTAGAGTTATGCTGAGTTTGACTTTGTGGAGCACCACCCTTTGGGGGCTGGGGAGGTGAAGCCCTAAACCTTTGTTCCCTCCCTGATGTCCTCCAGGAAAGGGGACCTGGGAACAGATCCAACCACTTGGCGGGACTCTCCTGCACCATCTAGTGGTCAGGACGAGTAAGCATTTCGCGTGGTTGAGGCTGGTTTTCAGCGCATTAAAAATGCCCTAGCCAATTTGCCAGGCTGTAGATGCATCCCGATGCTGTGTAGCCAGGTTCTCAGAATGTTCCAGAATGGGTGTAACTTTAACTGCACTGGCCGAGCATCTTCTGATACACTGGGCAGTGGCTGTTCTGAGGGAAGAGAGGGCTCTGGGTGGGAGGGCTTGTGGCTGGGATGAGAGCTTCCCGCAGGGTTGCCGAGGCAGGTGCCGGAACCGAGTGCTGCTTCGTACGTGATGCAAACACAAAGAAGTGGGCCAGCACGTCGTAAGACGGGTTTCTGCAGCATTAAGTGAAGAGTGCCACCACGTGTGTTCCCTGGGGGGCAGTTGAAGGGAGTTGAGGTCCTGTTGCCTGACACTCTCTGGTCCCATGTCTCCTTGGGAGGGTGTCCCTGGGCCTCTCTTGGAGGCTGCACATTTCCCACCCTCTGTCTCTTCATGTCCTTTGCTTGTTTCCTGTGTTTCTGCCCCCAGAGTTGAAGCTTTCCTAGGAGAGGATGGGCCCAACCTGAGCCCCCGAGTCAGATAGCATGTAGACTGGCTAGAGAGGAATAAAGGGGGCCCCGGCTCTGGTGTGGGGGCTCAGGGGTGGCTGCCAGCTTAGACCAGCATGTAAAAGAGTGGGCAGGATCCAGTATGTGCCATCCCAGCTTCCAGAGAGTGCAGAGCTGAGCATATGTGGGCTCTGCTTGGGGCTGTGCAGCACTGGGTCGAGGGGGTGGGAGAAAGGAAGACCCATGGCAGAGATGGATTTGGGCCAAGGAAAGGGACGGGCTGAGTAGTAGGTGTTGGTGGGGTTCCTGGGCAGTGGTGGGGACGGGTAAAGGTGGTCCTGCAGTGTAGGGGGCCTCAGGATGAGTGGGAGCCCAGGAGGGAGGAGACGAGGGTGGTGGGGCCTGTGTATTACCTCAAAGAGGTCATGCTGGGGAATGGCCACCTGATGGTCTGGGTAGTGTCTTGGTGTTTTAGATTGGAGAGTCCATCTTGAAAGGAGGACATAATTCACAATGCAGGACATTCACAATCTGAGGACAGATGTCCTGGCGTGGAGACTTCTCTTGATGGGAGGATGTGGTGGGCCAGAAAGGGGTGAGCTCTCTTCAGTTGGAGCCTTGGTTGAGCTATCAACCTGCCTGTTTGTTTCCTTCTGGCAGGTTTGTCACACGGCCTGATGTCAAGCAGAAGAAGATGGCAGGTTTCCTGGACTGGAGCCTGCACACCTTGGCCCGCTCCTCCTTCCAGACCATCGAGGGGGTCATTGCCATGGATGGCATGCTACAGTCCCTGGTAAACACTGCTCCGGGGGAGGGGATAAGTTCTCTTCACCTTTGAGTCCATTCTGAAGTAGCTGGAACATAGTAAGAGACCATTAACCCTAGCAGCACAGTACTGCACCTTAAAACCCAGGGTTGTCCTTGGATTGTCAGCATTGGGCTTTCTGCTCCAGTGAAGGAGATGGCCTGAGCCAGCCTGGTGTGTCGCCACCAGGGGGCAGTGGTGTCCACAGAGCTGGGGCAGGCAGGCGGGCAGGCGGGCAGGCGGGCAGGGCATATCCTCTTTGGGTTTCCTGCTGCGTAATTGTGTTACAGAGTATAATTATCGGAACAAACTCTGATGAAATAAAGCAGGTGATTTGACATTTGATTTTGTTCAGCTACTTGGGTTAGGGTGTTAGTAACAAGTGTGTTAAACACAAAAAGGCGCCTGCCCACAGAGTGCACCCGTGGGTGCCCTACCTCCAGCCCTTTCCACTCCCTGCTTCGTCTGTCTGTTGTGTTGCCTTTTTTTTTCTTTAAGATTTTATTTATTTGAGAGAGAGAGAGCGAGAGTGAGAGAGCACGAGCAGGGGGAGCGGCAGGCAGAGGGAGAGGGAGAGGCAGGCTCCCCGCTGAGCAGGGAGCCCGATGCGGGGCTCGATCCCAGGACCTTGAGATCATGACCTGAGCCGAAGGCAGACGCTTAACAGACCGAGCCACCCAGGTGCCCCTGTGTTGCCTTTTCTAGTCCTAATGAGGAGGACAGTTCCCAGAAGAGGGAAGGCTGCTGAGGCCCTCATGGTCCTTGGGTGTTGTGGGCATGGTACCTCCTCTCTGCTCTTTAATTGCAGCCGGTGAGACTTGGTTCTTGGCCTTGTTTCTGAAGCTGTAGAGGCCCATGGCCCACTTTCTGGAGAGCAGGGCATTTCGGACTGCGTTTAAATGGAGACATTTGAACCCATGACTCAGTGTGACATCATTTTCTCGGGTGTTGTCCCATGTGCTGGCTGTTGACAGGTGGGATGAGGTGTAAGAAGTCATGAGGGTCAGTGAAAAGTGGGGCTGATGATGTTATCACCCAGGGCAGTGGGCACAGGATGTGGGAGGAGAGGAGATGACAGCCAGGGCTGCCTCAGGGCCCTGGGGAAAGCCCTTTCTCACTGTACACCCTGTCCTGGGCACTTAAGGTACAGACCGCCTGGCCCCTCTCAGGAATGTTCTCGGCATCTGTTTCTTTCCATTTGTGTTGCTGTTGTCTTTAGGAAGGACAACCTTTCAAATGATGAGAATATTTCAAGACATTTTATAAAGAAACCTGGAAAAATAGAACATTTTCTGAATTCCTTTGGTCTGTTGAGGTGCTGTTTTTTTTCCTTTCTTCCATTCTGTAAATGAACGTGATATGTTGTGTACTAGTTCTTAGAAAATATTGAGAGGGGGCACCAGGGTGCCTTAGTCGAGTGTCCAGCTCGATTTTGGCTTAGGTCATGATCTCCTGGGTTGTGGGATCAAACCCGTTTTGGGGCCTGCGCTCAGCAGGGAGTCTGCTTCTCTCCTTCTTCTCTCTTTGTCCCTCTCCCTGCTCAGGCATGCGTGTGCGTGTGTGTGTGTGTGTGTGCATGTGCGTGCAGGCGCACGCACGCTGTCTCTCAAATAAATAAATCTTAAAAAAAATTGAGATAATTCACATACCGTAAGTAATCTGCTTTTTTTTTTTAAAGATTTTATTTATTTGACAGAGAGAGACAGTGAGAGAGGGGACACAAGCAGGGGGAGTGGGAGAGGGAGAAGCAGGCTTCCCGCGGAGCAGGGAGCCCGATGCGGGGCTCGATCCCAGGACCCCGGGATCATAACCTGAGCGAAGGCAGACGCTTAACAACCGAGCCACCGAGGCGTCTGCTTTTTTAAAGTGTCTAATTCAGTGATTATTTTGTATATGCACAAGGTCACATACTCAACACCACTATCTAATTTCAGAATATTCTCATCACTGATAAAGGAAACCCCACACCTGTTAGCAGTCACTCCCCTCTGCAACCATTAATTTAGTTTCTGTCTCTGTGGATTTGCTCATTTTGAACATTTTATATAAATGGAATTGTACAACATGTGACCTTTGTCAGTGGCTTCTTTCATTTAGCATCATGTTTTCAAGGTTCATCCATGTTGTAGTGTAGGTCAGTAATTCATTCCTTTTTATGGCCAAATAATATTCCACTGTATGGGTATTCTTAGCTACTATGAATAGTGTTAACCTGAACTTCTGTGTGTAAGTTTTTGTTTGAGCATATATTTTAGTTCCCTTGGGTACGTAACAGTAGTTTTTTTTTTTAATTTATTTTTTATTTTTAAAAGATTTTATTTATTTATTTGACAGAGAGACAGTGAGAGAGGGAACAAAGGCAGGGGGAGTGGGAGAGGGAGAAGCAGGCTTCCCACCAAGCAGGGAGCCCGATGGGGGCTCGATCCCAGGACCCTGGGATCATGACCTGAGCCGAAGGCAGACACTTAACGACTGAGCCACCCAGGCGCCCCAGTAGTTTTTTTTTTTTTTTAATTTAACAATTTAAATATTTTCTATGTTTTTGAAGTCTTAGTTTTCCTCATGGCCGCACATCTGTCACGTGATGAAACGTGGGTATCAGCTTGTGCAGATGCACAGCCTGTGCCTTCAGGCGGCTCTCACTCCAGCTGTGTGTGGAGATGGTGCTTAAAGAGGGTTGTATTGGGATTTTCAGTGTAATTGCTATGATGGGAGTCAGTGCAGCGTGAGGCTGGCCTGGAAGGGCACCTAGTGTGGATGTGGATGGGAGGGGGAGGTGCGGGATACAGACGTGTGCCCACCAGGCTGTCTGTCATTGCCTGAATTCTGGAGAAGTGCATTTATGTTTTAGGTAATTCTGGTAAAGGATGGGTGAATGGGGCAGAGATGCTTTTTTTTTTATTAAAGATTTTATTTATTTGACAGAGCACAAGCAGAGGGAGAGAGAGGGAGAAGCAAGTTCCCTGCTGAGCAAGGAGCCCGATGTGGGACTCGATCCCAGGACCCTGGGATCATGACCTGGGCTGAAGGCAGCCACTTAACCGACTGAGCCACCCAGGCGTCCCGGGGCAGAGATGCTTTATTTGAAGGTTTGGGTGTAAGGGGATTCTTAATTTTTTGGCATGAGTTGCATTGAGAAGTCTTAGGTCATAGAGAAACAATTGGAAGGTCTGACAAAATATAACTGGAGTCTGTCAGTCTACTGTGACCTGCAGGGCAAAATGCCAGACCTATCTGAATGTGGGCGAGGGATGATGAGGCACATTCGACCTAACTTGCTTTTGTGGTTATGGTCCTATTTTAGACCTTCTTTGCCCAGTCAGGAATTTGTATCAGGCACGGGCTCTCGGGGTCTCCTGTAGGCTTTGCCCAGAAGCCACTCCTCCAAGAGCCGCAGCTGTGTTCATACACACAGGGGCAGCTGGGCCAGCAGGGTGCCTAGGCTGTAGGGCTGGAGCCTGCTGTGACCGCCCTAGGGACCTGCGGGCAGGTGAGGCCTGTGTGGCCCCTGCCTGGGCTGGTGGCAAGGAGGCAGCGGTGGGCCTGTGTACTCAAGCCACCTGCGAGAGTTCCTGATGGCTCCCTTGTCCCTGGGCTCAGGTCCTCGGGGCTCTTCCTGAAGGCTTGAGAAGGGCGTAGGGACCCTTTTTTGTCCACTTCTGCAGTTGCTTTGCCCTAGGTCCTTTTATTTATTTTTTTAAAACATTTTTGATCATCTTGTTGCCTGTCTCTACATTGTTCCCAGGTTTTCTGCTGCTTCTTCCTAAGTGGGAGACACACGCCTTTAATGGCAAAACCCAGTGCTGGTTGGGAAAGGCTGCCGAGTGTTGTCCTGCCAGCTACAGGAGCAGGTCAGCATCCCTCTCAGTGCAGAGAGCCAGCCAGGAGTGGGGTAGTGCTGTGGACGTGGACATCTCCAGGCTCCACCCTTAGGAGAAGTTCTCGTTTTCTCTTTCTCCTGAGGAATAGAGGGATTTTCCCAAAAGCTTCTGCCCCTTCCCCCAGCTGGGCCCTGGAGCAGCATGGCAGCCATATCTCAGAGCTGTCTGGAGAGGTGCGCCCTCAGTGGGGTGGACAACTGCCTGACAGGGCAACCCAAATTCTAGGGAAGTGAGTAAATGAAACTGCTGGGAAGTGGCACTCTGCAGGGCCCAGCACACCCCTTCTGGAGCCTTCTGAAGCTCCCGTGTTTCCTCTGGAAAACCTAGGGTCCTTCTGGACTCACACGTCTTGTTTCCTTTTCTCTTTTCCTTTTCAGAGCAGTGATTTGGTCTAATTACTGCTGATGCTGCCTGGTCAGGAGGAAGTGGTGTGGGGTGTTGGGCTCTCCCAAGCAGGGAGCGGGTTTCACCATGAGCTCGTCAGACCTGAACAGCAGAGGCTGGGCGTCCGCTCTGCATGATGAAACTTGCAGGTGTATTGTGCTTTCAGATTTCGTCTGTCTCCTTTGATGCACTTGGCTTCATTTCTATCCACCTGTTCATTAGTGTGAGTTAGGCAAAACAGGTGAACTTGTAACAAGCACCATCGAAACTAGGGTTTGATTTTATTTTCCTGGAAGCATGTTCCTCTTCTAGCAATGAATTTTAACTCTTGTGTGGGAGAAACAGGAGTCTGGTAGCTTCCTATCCCTGGAAGGCCCTCTGGCTTAGTCCTGCTTTAAGCATTAGGATTATTGCAGATTGAGGAAATTCAAAGAAGGAAAACCCATATTAAAAATTGAAAATGGTCATCGTTTGAATATGCTGTGACCTCTGCTTCCTTATTGATGGTTGCACCATTGTGGCTCTCACTGCTTAGATTGAAGAGCCTAACGACTGACTGGTGACGTGGGGCTTCCCTTCCTGTGTTCCCTGTAATGGCTGGGAGGCAGGTGGGCACTTCTATTGCCAAAGACAGGGTTCTTACACAGAAATACTGCTGGTGTGATGAGTGGCAGTAAAACACTCTCCTCTTTGCCAGTTATGATTGTATCCCCCCTTCACAAT